CAAAACACTTGTTGTTTTGGTTCGCGGGTCGAGAGCGCACCTCTTCCGGTCGAAGCTAAGCGGGCCGCGCAGAGCTTGACTTACTCAGAGAAGGGGGAGGAGAAGGGTGGCGCAGCCTCAGAACGAGGCCGGGAGGAGGGAAGGTTAACCAAACACTCCCAGGCTGGGAGAGGTAGCCGAAGGCTCTTCGTGCGTGTTCTGGGCCTCCCGCGCGCCCCGCCCAGCTCTGAACCGGAAGAGGCCCGCTCTCGACCCGCCGACCAAAGCATGATCGGCCCACGAAGCATGATCAGCAGCATGATCGGCCCGACCAAAGCATGATCGGCCTAACGCATGGCAGCGTCTTCAAAGACACCTGATTGGGTGTTTCGGAGGTCGACAGACCTCCTAGCGTGACGCGTCGATCAGCGAATTGGCCGTTTCCGGTTCGCGCGAGGGCGGCGCGCCCATCACTTTTGCGGGTGCAGGTCCGTCGGTCTCGGTCCTGGGCCGTTTGCACTAAAGGGTGGTTTACTAAAGGGAGGTCTGTCCACCGCCGACAGATGGGAACCCGAGCAGACGGGGTCGGAGGTTCGCGCCGCACCGCCGATGCATCGGCGATGCGGCTCGATGCGGAGCCCGATGTTCTCCACGCCCACGCCGCCGATGCATCTCCGACGTCGCCAGTGCATCGCCGATGCATCGGCGATGCATTGGCTCACCACCCACCAAACCACTCCAACCCAACTCGAAGGTCTCAATGTTTGACAAAAAAACGAAAAATGGAACCGTATTCCCCAAACCCGAAATTCTGGCCTTCGGGCTGGGTTGGGGTGGTCTGGTAGGTAGTCCTTGACGACGCGGCGCGATGCATCAGGGACTCTGGCGATGCATCGGCGACGTCGGCGTGGAAAAAGTCGGGCTCCGCATAGAGCCGCATCGCCGATGCATCGGCGGTGCGGCGCGATCCTCAGACCCCGTCTACTCGGACTCCATCTTGGGGGCCTCTAACAATTGGGGGGGGGTCGGGTTTTTCCCAAGGGAGACCACGCCTCTCTCCCGAAGCCGCCCGCCTCCCCCCCCCCCTCCTCGTGCGCGCGTGCCGAGCGCGGCGCCTTCCCCCCCCCCCGCGCGCGCGCGCCGGCCGATGGCGGCGGGGGGCGGGGGGCCGCGGGGCCCCCGGCGCCGTCTTGAGGCACCGAGGGGCCGCCGCGGTCGGGGGTTCGAAGGGCGGTGGTGGGAGGGTGGGGGCTGAGGGTTGGGGCTTCTCTGAAGGACTTAGGCGACCGGTCCTCTTCCTCCTCCTCCTCCTCCTCCTCCTCCTCCTCCTCCTCCTCCTCCTCCTCCTCGTCCATCTCCTCCTCCTCCTCCTCCTCCTCGTCCTCCTCCTCCTCCTCCTCCTCCTCCTCCTCGTCCTCGTCGTCCTCGTCCTCCTCCTCCTCCTCCTCCTCCTCCTCCTCCTCCTCGGGTCGCCTACGGCCCCGGGGGAAACCGTGCACCTGAGTGCAGGGAGTGGATACGATCGAGGCGGGGACAGAGAGTGGGGACGGAGACCGACAGCAGGTCCCTGTTCATGTGAGCAGGACTCGCGGTCGGTGATGCCGCGGTCGGCAGAACGTCGCCTGCCCAGCAGTGGTCGTTGTCGGTTCTGGACAACACTTGAGCAACGCCTGCCCAGCAGTGGTCGTCGTCGTTGTCCAGTCGTTGGGCAATCGTCCACGAGGGCCCCATGACCCCGCCAAAACGAGCCCGAAGAAGGCTCCAAGATGGCTCCAAGAGGACTCCAGGAGGGCCCCAAGAAGACCCCCAAAGTCCACCAAGAGCTTTTGACAACAATAGATCCGCAATTCTCCCATTCCTCCTCATCCTGCTTGTCCTCCTCCTTCTCCCTCCTCCTTCTCCCTCTTTTTCGTCCTGGTCCTCTTCACCCTCCTGCTCCTCTTCGTTCTCCTCCTCATCCTCCTCTCCTCCTTCAACCTCCTCATCCAAGCAACTCTCATGGGCATCGTTTCTGGATAGGCTGGTGGGGGTACGCGAACGTCAGAAATTGTAGAGACATCCTCCGCCGCCTCCTCTGGATGCGCGTGGGCTTTGGTTTTGTAAGTGTGCTGCGGCGTGGTGATCGCCTTCCAGCGTCGCTCCTCGCGGGACGTCTGTGAGCATACGATGGGCAGCTCAGGGGCGCAGTATCTCGAAGAAGGGAAAACAGCAGAACCATCAACTTTCGAGGGCCTGCTCGGATGCTTTGGATCTGCGCTGGACCCCTCCCCGGCGCGCGGAGCACGCCATGGGCGGCGCCGGAGGCGCCGCCAGGGGGGCTTGGCGCAGATCCAAGAAATTCGCACGGAGCGCCGAAAGTTTATGTGTACGGCAGGGTCGCGTCGTGTCGACCTGCGGCGACCCCGCCGCGGGCGTTCAAGGTTGACCGCCCCCAGTGTCCCAGAATCGGCTTAACTCGGGGGTGGACAGACCTCCTACCCTGACACGTCAAATAGTGAATTGTCCGTTTTCGGTCCTCGAGAGGGCGCCGCGGCCGTCATTTCCCAGGCTTGCGCCCGCCAGGTTTTGGCCCGAGGTCGTTTTCATTAAACCACGTTTTACTAAAGAGGTCTGTCCATCCCCGACTAAGGAACGATCGGATGATCGGAGAGCCGCCGCTCGTTCAAGTTTGAACGATCCACGCGATGTCAGAAGCCAACGCCAGGGTCGACACGACACGAGCCTGCCGTGTGCAGTTGCTCTGTTCCTCTCAGTGTCGGCACACGATCGGCAGCTCAGGGGCGCCGCATCGCCAGGCTCTGGGGGCGGGTTCGGTGTCCCTGGCCGCTGCGCCACGGCGTGCGCTTCCAGCCCGACGGAGCACGCGGCGGCCGCCCCGCGGGGCACGGCGACGGTATCCACCAAGGGTCGGTGCGCTGACCTGGCGCAGTACGCCTACTGCCAGAGCAGAGGACGAAAACCATGAACCTCCTCCTCCGTCCCCTTCGTCCTCCTCCTCCTCCGTCCTCGTCGTCCTCCTCCTCTTCCTCGTCCTCCTCCTCCTCCTCCTCCTCCTCCTCCTTCTCCTGCTCCTCTTCTCCTGCTCCTCTGCTCCTGCTCCTGCTCCTCCCCCCTCTCCTCCTCCTGTTCCTCCTCCTCCTCCTCCGTCCTCCGACGACACTGGAGGTGAGCTCTGAGCGCGCGTGGTAGGAGCGAAGGCGCAAACCAGCGCTGCCAGTGCCTGCCTCTCGTCGCACAGGTCGGGTGTGGACACACTGCTGCCCACCAGAAGTTCGACGCCTCGCTGGATGCTGAAGAGCGGTGCCAGCGAAGCGGGAGGCACTGGGCGGACAGGGCGGCCGAGGTGGGAGCTGCCCCGCACCCAGCCGCGCCGGAGGCGGAACACCAGCGCGTGGGCCACCTGGCCTCTGGCTCGAGGGCCGCAGCCAAACTCTCGGCCAAGAGTCTGCCGCTCTGGCCTCGTGTGACGTCGGGCCTGCCCCTCTACAGGACGGCAGAAGATTCAAACACAGTCTCAAAACCATAGGGGGACGATGCTTGCGTTATTTTGGGGGGCGTTGGTTTCGACATGTCTTGGCTACGTCTAGTGTTTCGTCCCAGCTCTCCGCCCGTGGGGGGACATGCCCCCCGACCTCAGCCTCGCACCTGCACGGGTGGAGTCCAGCTCGCCGAGGCTTCCCGAGAGAGGAGGTGACTCTGTCTAGTTGTTCATCCAAGCTCCGCCTGTGGGGGGACACGCCCGACCGAAGCCTCGTACCTGCACGGGCGGAGCCCAGCTCGCCGAGGCTTCTCGCGAGAGGAGGCGGGCCCGCCAACGGCGCCCCCGCGAGCGGGCGCGCGCCGGCGGGGCGCCCCGCGCTCCCTGGCGAGGCCCTCGGCGTCTGCGAGGCGCTCGAGCGGCCGCTGGGCACCGGGCGTGAGTCGGGCCTCTGTCCCTCCGCAGGAGGGATGCTCACAAGCAGGTTTAAAAACACAGTCTGGAGGCGATGGTTCTCTGGACTGGTTGGGAGTCTGTTTGGATTCTGTGTTGCCTATTTCTTATCTTTCGTCCGAGATAATCCCCCCGTAGCGGGACGGGCCCGACCTGAAGGCACGCTCAAGTCCGCCCGCGGGCCTTACAGTCAAAAACCCTAATAAGCACGCGCGACTTTGCTCAAGGTACCCTTGCGTCCTTGCCTGGAGGCGATGGTTCTCTGGACTGTTTGTAGGGGGCCACATGCGAACCCACCCTACCACCCTCCCCCTCAGAAATCGTGGGGGGTAGGGGTAGGGTTCGCATGTGGCCTCCTAGTTTGGGAGTCTCTTTGGATTCTATGTTGCCTGTTTCTTATCTTTCGTCCGAAAGAATCCCCCCGTAGGGGGATGGGCCCGACCTGACGGCACGCGCGAGTCCGCCCGCGGGCCTTGCAGGATCTGGGGCGAAGCTGCGCTGCGCTGGGCCGAGCAGCGACGGGCCGCTCGTGCGCACAGCTGCCCTTGGCATCGCTCGGACGTGTGCATTTTTCTTTCGGCGAGGACCATCGAGGAGCATCCTTGATCATTTGGCGAAAAAAATACGCACGAAACCAAAAAAACACAGGGAATGGACGTCCGAGCGATGGCCAGCTGCTGGCCGCGGAGCGCCCGCCTCGGGCGGGCGGCTCCCGCGGCCTGGTGCGCGGAGGCAGCCCCTGCCCGTGCGGAGGCGGTGCGGTGGCGGTCGGGCCCGAAGCGTCATCCTGAGCCGTGCGAGGAGAAGGGGAGGAGGAGGAGGAGGAGGAGGAGGAGGAGGAGGAGGAGGAGGAGGAGGAGGAGGAGGAGGAGGAGGAGGAGGGGGAGGAGGAGCAGGAGGAGCAGGAGGAGGAGGAGGAGGAGGAGGAGGAGGAGGAGGAGGAGGGGCATTGGACAAGGCATGGCAAAAGGTCTCCGCCCGAGGAGGGGCGCGGTCTCAGTCGAGCTTTTTGTGTGCCCCATTTGGGTGGGGTCTCGGATCGTGGACGTTAAATCCTCCTCCGTCCTCCTCCGTCCTCCTCTTCCTCGTC